CAGGAGGAAGGACACTGATACCAATAATGTTACCACTACGAATAGTAAAACTAAGACTAATAAGACGAGTAATACAACATATGCGAATGCGACGGCTACCAAGACTACTGTTAATGTCAAAGCTGGTACGACGAGTAAGCATACCACGAAGAGAACGAGCTATACCACCAGTACTGCGACTTGTTACTGGTACGTTTTTTTGTTAATCGCATTACTACTGATTTGGGTAATCATAGTAGAATGCTACTGGTATGGCTAAGAGTAAGCGTGTTATGAAGGCCAACCGTAATCTGGCTACCCAGAGTAAACATAATACAAACACTATGCGTACGGGGAAGACTGCTACTAACACTACTCATATTACTACTGGTACTATGAAGCTCACGAAGAGTACTCACACTAACAAGGCTGCGACTAATACTACTAATGGTACTGCACACACGAGTCACTGCACTACTTTTACCACGGCGCAGGCTACTGCTAATACGAGTACCAATGATACGAATAATGATACCACGGGTAATAAGACTAACCTGGCGAGCACGAATACACGATTACTAAGACACACACGGCTAATACCAGTTATAGTAATAGACATCATATTGCTTACACTACTATCAAACGTATCACTAGTTCTATTTTGTGATTCAATCCACGCTAAGACTAAACATACTGACAAAGACGATTACGACTAAGAACCATCCGAACAAGAAGAGGGGGAGGGGCAGGGTGTGGACTAGGAAGGGGAGGAGGCGGATGCGGAGGAGGAGGCGGAGGAGGAGGATGAGGATGAGGAACGGTAGGAGTAGGAGGAAAGGGAAGAGGAGGAGGAGGAGGAGGCGGGGGAGGAGGAGGCTGAGGATGAGGAGAAGGGGGAGACAGAGGAGGAGGAGTAGGAGAAAGCGGAGCAAGAGGAGGAGGAGAAGGAGGAGGAAGAGGAGGGTGAGGAAGCGGAGGAAACTGAGGGAACGGAGGAAGAGGAGGAGGAGGAGGAGGAGGAGGAAGAGGAGGAGGAGGAGGAAGACGAGTTGGAGGAGGAGGAGAAGGAGGAGGAGGCGAGGAGGAAGACGAAGAAGATGGTTCTACTGGGCATCAAGTGAAGGAGGAGGTGGTGGTGGGGGGGTGTGAGGAGGATGAGGAGGAGGAGGAGGTGGAGGTGGTGGAGGAAGAGGAGGATGAGGAGGATGAGAGAGGATGAGGAGGGAGGTGGAGGAGGAGGAGGAAGAGGAGGAGGGGGAGGAGGAGGAGGTGGAGGAGGAGGAGGAGAAGGAGGACGAGCAGGGGGAGGAGGAGGAGGATGAGGATGGCTATACTGGGCATCAAGTGGAGGAGGAAGCGTTGGCTGGGGGGGGTGGGGTTCTAGGAGGATGAGGGGGAGGTGGAGGTGGAGGAGGACGAGGAGGAGGAGGAGGAGGAGGAGGTGGTGCAGGGAGAGCAGGAGGAGGCGGCGGAGGAAGAGGAGGAGGAGGAGAAGGAACGGGAGGAGGCGGAGGCGTGGGAGGAGGAGGTGGCGGAAGAGGAGGAGGATATTACGAATTCTACTAACCGTGAGACGAACCATATTCATGCCAATAACCAGCACCACAGGTTTGATACTAGCGAACTATGACTAGTAGTAACATGTTCAGAATAAACATGCCAAAACCAATCATACTTATACTACTATTCAGAGCAAGACGGCTATTCAGACACATCCTATTTCAGACTGGTTCCATTTAGACTAGAGTAACATGGGTAAGGCTAATCATGCTAACACCACGGGCACTACTAGCACTACTAACGAACTCAGCAATGCGAATGATAACATCCAGGTGGCTACTAGCAAGAGTATGAATATCACGAACACCAAGTAACCATTGGGGGACTCAGCAGACGAGTAGGAAGAAGCGGGGTAATACTATTAAAACTAATAATTGTAATGCTACGAATAATGCGAATACTGAAAGTAAGGAGGAGGAGCAGGAGGAGGAGGAGGAGGAGGAGGAGGAGGATAAGGAGGATGAGGATAATGATGAGGGGGATGAGGAGGTCGAGGAGGAGGCGGAGGAGGAGGACGAGGACATTGAGGAGGATGAGGAGGTGGAGGAAGAGGGATACTTATAGTATCAAGAGAATGCTACTACCACTATTCGTGGGTCATCATCATATTACTGCCGTTACTCGTATCACTGAAGCTGCTAATACGTTAATAGTCATCATAGCATTACGCTAATAAGAATACGGAGAAACCGCGACTACTAACACATAATCATCTGCTGTCATACTACGATGATACCGGAGGAAAAAACCCAATCAGAATTTGTTTGGGGCTATAGGGCTATTGGGCTATAGGGCTTTAAGGCTACTATAGGGCTATAGGGCGATAAGGATATAGGTCTATAAGGCTATAGGGCTACAGGGCACTTGGCACCCAGGCACCCGGCACCCGGGCACCCGCCCGGGCACCCGCCCGGGCACCCGGCACCCGTCACCCGGGCATTTGGGCACCCGGGCACCCGGG